CATACAGATATATCTGTATATCTAATAGAAACATAAATATTTTAGGCAAAACCGAGCAAATAGTCCATTAACAGATGTATACATACTATGACAAATATTTAGGTAGCTCTATCAGGAATATTCTTACTGAAAACGTGAGGAAATATAATTCTCAGAAACGTATAAGCTACACTATGTTAACTGCTTAAGAGTCATACTGAGACCTTACAACTAGGAAGGTTGTGAATATTGCGAGATCTATGCCAGGTAATCTGAAATTGTTTGCACTCAATTCACTTCTTAGCGTAGTATAAGGGTTCGAAAGCATATGAGAGTGTGTACATAAGCGTAAACAAGCAAAATATTCCCTTTCTCGTGCGTATTGTTGCGTTCGCATAAGCGAGTTTACGAGCCTATGTATATACAATTCCGCATGTTAACATAAATTTGGTACAGCAAGCTTTTCCTACGTCCGAAAGTACACACAAAGACAACAAACACAATCCTTTAAAACCCTATCCATTTACCTGAGACCCATAACTCTGCGGTGGATTCTGTGCCACGAAGGATGAAGGGGGAGGATACTGATAGCCTTGTTGTGCCTGTTGACCTTGTTGGTATCCTTGTGGAGGTGGTGGGTATGTTTGTTGCGGTGGTGGGTATGGGCTCTGAGTCTGAGTGGGATAGGGACCTTGCCCAGTAGGGTATGGGGTTGCCATGATTACCGAATAAAAGATGTATAGTGTGTATTTCCTCGACTCTATGTACGTATTGTGTATGTATGCAATACACGTAGTTGATTACATATATTAAAATATCACATGGGGGTCATTACATAGCCCTCCAAATAATACACTGGTTATGGTTATTAACTAACCAACAACGTCGTTGATTGTTCCATTATCCGTATCATTTTGAGACTATAAATGTACCCAAACTTTCCGAAGTAGGGTAATAGCGATGAGTCATGCACTGGTCATCAACTATATTTAGAACGTCACAGCTATGTATTTACTACATTAGGAAAAGTATGAGATTTGGCGCGCTATTCATTTTTATATCAGAAATATTTATATGTATCCCAATTTTGTACGAGAGTGTGAATTGTGAAACTACACACATAGCCTTGGAAGGCTATGGTATACAAACTGCGTAAAGAGGTTTATTGATGTACACAGAAGGTTATTTTACACAGGATGAAGTTACTTCTCAGAGCCTGGTTTCCTTTTCTCTGGTGTCGTCGTTTGTTCCTCTTCTCGCTTCTTCTTGAATATGGCATTGATGTAGTCCTCATTGGTGGGGTTGGCGATATTGGCCCCGACCTCTTCAAATGCCTTGTATTTACCATCCTTTGGCTGCAAGAAAGATATAGTTAAACATTAATACGATATACGTTTACTTTCAGACGCATCACTTGTATTATATCTAGCTATAGTCTAACCACTCGTATGAAGAAATCTAAACACTTGATATAATCTCATATATATATATATATACGTTTACTTTCAGATACATCAATTGTATTATATCTAGCTATAATCTAACCACTCGAATAAAAAAATACAAACACTTGATATAGTATCATATAACTACAAATGCAAACACTATACGAAATATACCAAGGTACACACTTTTACATAGAAATATACACAATCACACACCAATATATATATATATATATATACACACATATATATATATACATACATCTACACACATACACATAAGTATATATATATATACGTATACATACGTATACATACGTATACATACGTATACATACGTATACATACGTATACATACGTATACATACGTATACATATATATTTACTTACATATGTACATGCATACATACACGAACCTAAAAATATATACATATATACATACACACACACACACACATATATATATAAATACGTAAATATATATTAATTTCTATATATAACAATGTATATAATAACAATGATAAGTACAATAACAATAATATGTATTTATAACAAAATAAAACAATAACAATAACAACAACAATGAATAAATAAACAAATGCACGTATACATATATATATATATATATACAGACAAAATACACAGTACACAAGATACAGATATACAAATGACACAATAGACGTAGTAGAATATGTACAAATTAGATATACACCCACACTCGTTGATATAGTGTCACCGCATACCTCAAACATTGTCTTGTCCAGGCGGGTGGTTCTGATTGGCTCATCTAGAGGCTCCTCAGTAGGTACGGTCTTATCTATCTCCACCGCAGCAGCAGCAGATTTAGTCAGTGGTGTTTTCGACAGCGTTGTGAGGTCTTCCTCCAGCTAAAATATAATTGGGCAGATGATATTTGCTTTAGTAGAGAGCACTGCATGTGAATGTGAGCAAAGCCATACAAATTCAAGATGGAAAATCAGACTGTAATGACTGAGCCAGTAGACAGCATAGAACTACATGACAGATGCACTCAATGTAGTGTACGGTCCCACATAAACCTCAAACGACTATATCTAAAAGCGTATCCATATCCATATTCATGACAGGCATAGTCGATAATCGTTCTCTGTCCCAGGAGCTTAATCTTTTATCTATCGGGTTGTAAACAGAATCGCAATATTTGGACAGACAAATATATCAGTGGTCACAGAATCAATTACAACTACAGTCATGTACTACACGCGACAATATCAGGATCCACAAAATACGAATATCCACCTCTTTCCTGTCAATTGTCCAATTTTCAATGCCGTCTTGTCCCATTTTTAATTCATATTGTACATGACATAGTATCAGATTCGCATACATATACATACGAGATTGTAAAGAGTCGACTATTGAAATTGCATGTTTGTAAGAACAAACATCTTTGTTTTGCGTATGTGCTATAGTATCAGATTCGCTTACAATTAGGTACCAAATCATATTGGGTCAACTCACACAATTCCATATTCCAATGAATAAACATCTTTGTCTTAAGTTTGTGCTATAGTATCAGATCCGCATACAACGAATAAAACCATATAGAGCCAGCTCATAGAACAAACATTTGCAAGGACTAACTACTTCGTTTCAGGTATGAGATTTTCCAGTTTACGACGAATACGTTCGTATATCGTGAATTCCAAGCCATAGCGAAAATACTTTGTAAACACACCCGGACGCCCCTTACCTCGTTCAACTCGTTCAAGGGTATCTTACTATCCTCGTCGTATATTTTGAAATCCGGCTCAATTGGTCGGTCCTTCTTCTTGCTGTACTTGCTATATTTTTGACCGCTTGATCTGAATAGGCGCATCGTTTCTATTTTGGACTCTTCGGCCAGCTGTTTGTCTTCCCTTTTAAGTTCTTCTTGGTATTCTTTCATTATTTCCCTGCCTATTCAGTGTAGAATAGCTTTCAAATGAGTAGGTCGATGTGTGTGCAGAGTTGAGGTGCTCACACTACCCTGACGATGCAGGCAAAACTATGTAGTGTATGGTCTACATCTGACAGGGGACAATTATGGATCTGACTGTACATGTACTTCAACGGTAACTGAACACAAGCGACACCACCGTAAGTGAAAGAATGACAAGTCGGCGCTGCATTGAAGTCGAAAAGGCACGTGGTAACAGGCTTATAAATTCTTGCATGATGGGTGATTTATCCAGTATTCATACACTTTTCTACAGCAAACAAAAGCGCGAGAGGTAAATATCGATGTCAAAAAAGGGAACCAATCAGCATTTACATATATAGTTTGGCACTGCGCTAATATTTTACTGAGCATAACTGTGGTATGTAAAGAAATATAGATTGAGTTCTTGGCAACAGAACCAATGATACCAATCCTCCGCGGATGTGCAAAACATAATGTTAACTTCTTCGGTCTATGTGTCTGCTGGGTATCACATCTAGATGTAGAGCTGGTTGTTGCGAACAACGACTAGCCATGGATCTCGACTTCGCAGTGAGAAGGTATACATTACCGATTGTCCACCACAGTGTACATCATAATTGCATATACACACGTTTATCTGGCAAAGGTGCACAAACAAACCTATTCGATTACAAAAGATGCTTATACTGGAATTTGACGCATCAAATATTGCAACTGATCTCTAAACGCACAACACGATACGAATGCAGATCGAAATATAGAGGCGTGTGCATACCATATTCCAAGTTCCCATTTCGCCCAATCACAACACAATAGAGGAAAAACCAGTCCGATTCAATCGTATACCTTGAAAGTTGTCACTCGACTGACTGTCACTACATAACAACAATTTTCATAAAATGCAATTCCGGTACATCTACATGCGAAGCCCATACCGTATTCCATTCCCTTTATCGCCCAGTAGCTCGGATTTGGACCCAGACCCCTTTCGAGCTGGTTCTTAGAGATGCGCAACGAAGCACCATTATACCTTGCATCTACAGTGCGCGTGCTTCCAAAGCACCTAGCACCCGTGCAAATCCGGTCAGAAACCAACAACTGATCCGTTGCGACAACAGAGGCCGCATACTTGCGGTTCAACGAGCGACTGAATCTCATCAGGCACGATCTCCGACTCATGGCGGTTACCAACATACTATACTAGATATCTTTGCCTTGCACTCGAATAAGGTTTCACAGACGTATTGGTATGTGTATTGTGGCTAGCACTGAGAGCATACTGTGTATATGAAATATATATTTTCATTAACATCTAGAAGGCTCGAAGCACGTATTGGGGGTGTAAATTTTGTTCTACGAAACGACATGCGCGTGTCACATTTTAAAAAGCCAAAAATGCCACAGATTTGTGGGGATATATTGCACTGACTGCGCAGAGCTTCAACAAACGTATCCAATAACTGGGCAGTGTATCTTCCAACGCACGCAGCAACAGTGCAGTGAAACCCGAACGTATGCAGCAACAGTGCAGTGAAACCCGAACGTATGCAGCAACAGTGCAGTGAAACCCGAACGTATGCAGCAACAGTGCAGTGAAGCTTCCAAAATTATACAACAACAGCGGCCTCTCCAGAGACACTCGCTTTATAATAAGTATACTAAAGTAGTGTCATACGAAGTTGCTTGAATACAGTATTATTGTGCGTGAACGGTGGCAATGGTTTGAGCGATAGCCCGGGTAGCAGCTTGCTTTGGAACGAACTCAAAATAAAGCAACGAATACATGTTGTTCGCCCCGTGCATGCAGTCTACCACCGCGTGGGCACGATGTGCCACGACGATGATCACACGGAGTATGCCTGGTCGCGCATTCCACGTGGTATCAGCCCCGTTTCCAGGCTCTATAACTAGCTGCGAATTTGTCCTTAGGGGAGAGGTAGTGAATACAAATAGACAACAGAGAGTCACATCTGCTTTAATCGTCAATAAGCAACAAAGAGTCACATATGCATCAAACTCATACAACAAGAAGGCGACCTGGATATGCGAGGTATGCAAAGCCTCCAATTACCCCCAAGATGGGACCTGCGTCGTATGTGATACCAAGCGCATGCGTATTGGTGACTGGTCTTGCGCTGAGTGCCAGAGCTACAACCCTAGCTTCCACAAACGCTGCGGACAGTGTCGAGCGCAGAAGAGCGAAGTGTGCGAGTTTGTTGGGAAGACAGAGGGCCAATGGATGTGTGCGGAGTGTACCACCGTGAACTATAAAAGCAGGTTGCGGTGCAGTAAATGCAATCACCACAGGGACTATTTAAAGGGGAATTGGACGTGCCCACACTGTCAGACGGCCAATTACCACCAGGACAACGAGTGCCGATCGTGCGCTCATGAGAAAACAGAGAAGTTGTTCAGTGGGACATGGAGGTGCCTGTTGCAAAACAATGGATGTGGCAAGATCAATAGCGTCGCGACAGAAGAGTGCACTCGATGTGGCCACGAAGCTGAGCATAATATCAAGGTATGTATATAGATACGGGTGTGTACATGTACACACACACACCTATATATATATATATATATATATATCACACACACACACACACACACACACACACACACACACACACACACACACACATATATATATATATACGTATATACATACATACATAAATACATATATATTACGTATAGATGTATGTATGCATGTGTGTATGTAATTATGTATATATGTATGTGCCCACGTGCCTATGTATGTCGGCAAGCATGCATGTATGCATGTATGTATGTTTGTTATGTATGTATGCATGTATATATATATATATATATATATATATTTTCATGTATGTATGTATGTATGTATGCATGCAAGTGTATGTATATACTTAGGTATGTATGGATGTATGTATGTTAGTATGTATGGGTGTACTGATGTGTGTAGTATGTATGTATGTGTGTATATATGCATATATATATATATATAAATAATATATATATATATATATATATGTATATATATATGTATATATAGAAAATATAGT